AAACACAAAAACCTCTTCCAATGGCCCAAGGCCAATGCCAGTTTTTATTCTGAGAAAATGGAACAGCCCATATACTCGACTAATGATTTTATATGATCTGACAGATAAAAACAGCGTGTAAGAAAGAAACGTGTGTAAATTCAGCTTAAATTGTCTGAATACAAACTTAATGCAATTTCCAGTGGAAAGTGAGTGTAAAATCTTGCACACATCATAATTTCATTTCTTTCCTCCTTACACTGATCACAAATACCATCCTTTCACAACCAAATGACTCCATTATTTCACATCACTGAGCCACTCAATTGTACTTGCTACTAGTTGCTCAGTTACTTGGGCAACTGCACCACCAAGTGCTCAAATCAGTTAATAGCATGTTAATGCGACATATTGTTCTCACAAAGTGAATATACAGCATATTCGGCCACGCATTTGATAAACAACATAAATTAATTTGTAGTTGAGGAAGCCTAATACTTAAACTTCGAAACCATTACTGAGGCCAAGATGTTCATGTGAGGAGAAACAGCTTAAAGAAACAGCCAAAGTAATTTGGAAAAGATGATATTTGTTTTGATGTATAATGTTTGGTTGGTTTTGACAAACCACAAAACAGAAGTCTCCTTTGAAGAGCAAGTTGATTCATATTGTCCAATATGCTTGAAGGTGATATAACACACAGGGGGAAACATTTATTCACTTCAGTTGGCACTCTGCAGATTTTGATACCCTGGGGACAAGTAGTAGCTCACAAAATGGTCTTCAATGATATCAAAGAAGGATGCTGTGTGGGCCACACAGTTAGCAGCCTGCAGCACTACCTACCCCCGTGGAATCAACAAATGCCTGAGCAAACATATTTCTTTTCAACATTGTTTACACATATCTAATTAATTTACAGACTGAACACCTTTTACATCATGCACATGGGGCATACTATTCCCTGCAAAATACCGCAAAATAAATCAACAGTAATGAAAATCATATGGCTCCATAATGGGGTCAACAGGCATTGGATCACCCAAGCACTGAAGATGAAAGTTACCCCCGAGAATGATCAGTTCTACTTTACTTACCATTTACTTTGAGGCAGGCACATTTTGATTTCAAAGAATTCTACTCAATAATGCATAAATTAAATAAATGATGTTGAATAATGGATGTAAGATTGAGCACTGCATGAACTGAAATGACAGCGAAGGCATAGTACCAGAATTTCCAGAACTAAACTGTTTTGCTTTCTATGATTGAGCATTAGAAAAAACACCAAGTTGCAAATCTAAATTTTTAATCAAGACATTGGTTGGAATTTTGTGCAAAATGGTCTTGGCCAATGGGTGGAGAGCTGACAAAGTCTCTGAAACACCTCTTTGTGAGAAGGCCCGTCACCTTTAGTGCCAGTCACCTCACAGACCAGTGATGGGCCTTTACCCATATCGAGGGCCCCAGGGTAGGGAAGACCAGCTCTCTGAGAACTGCCAACAAATCAGAGGCCAGTAGTGCCACTGGGAAGGTGGTAACACAGGGACAGGTGAACAGTTGCAGAAGGGAAGGGTTGAATGGGGCGTGGGGTTGGGGGGAGGGGGTGCGAGAGATCTTTGGTGTTAAGGGCAAGGAATGGCTTTCAGTCAAAAACCTCCTTTTCCTAATGCCAGGTCCCTCAATCAAGAACTGAGTATCTTTGAACTAGAGACCCTAGCCCCTGCCCCAGGTGCTCGTAGGATTAGCAAGTCATACTTCCTGTATGGCAAGCACTCACCCTCCACCCATTGCCTGGTGAATACCAGTGGCAGTTAGATGACGTCCTGAAATGAGCCCCCTATTGATCATTTGAGGGCTGCTAATGGGGCAGGATGCTGTCTATGCACTTAATCGTGTGGAGATAGAGGGTTGAAAGCATGAAAACTTATAAATCAACATCCTGGTCATACAGGAGTTCCATTTTCAGGTATACACAAAGAGTCAGACTAGTTTGAGTCATTTCCAAGTGTTTTTTCTTTCTGGGAAGGTAATGCAGTTTCTATCTGTCATCCTCTAGCCCAAAGAAATGGCCCTGAGCCACCAAACACCCCACAACATTGTGGATTGGCCGATAACAACTTGATCGTTTTCATTAGATCACAAGAGCAAATGTAAATCATTGGACTAAGTTAACCTTTTCATCCAAAAATAAACCTAGCTTCAATGTCACAGCATTCAACTATCTTCAAGTTGCCTCCAAAATATCCATTTTCACTGCCTTATCAGAAAATCATTCCAAGAGTATTAATCAGTCTCTATGAAGGAATATCCAGGCAACAGTGTCAAAATCCACCTTTCACCGTATAAACTTATGTTCCCTTGCCCTATTTCCATGGCATTTCTTGAAGTAGCACTTGCACTGCCTCTTCCAGATCACTTAGCTGAATACCTCATCCACCACACTAAAGTCCTGTGTCGTTTGTCTCCTTTGCAGTTTCCTCCACATTTCTCATAACTCAATCCATGTGGGACACCAGAGAAGTGATAAACACGGAAGGTTCCAGGGATCATCACTGTGGCTTGGTTCTCTTTGTGTCACCTCCAGGGATGTAATGTTTCTCCTGTCTCTCAGTAAATCCTTCTGAATTTATCATCAGCACTGTTTGCTTATCATGTTATTACAAAACATCCAAGCACATACATTTGGAATGCACATTTTAGAACAGTGAACGTTTACTTCAAGTATCTCTGCAAAAACATTCTGCAGTTGTCTTGGTACCATTCTGGCTGACATTGATCCACCTTAACCAGTCCTCATGATCCCAGGCTGATCTAAACTGCAACAACATCTGCCTGATCCTGGAAATCATCCACCATTCACAGAGGGCTAGTCTGTCAGGCACCACCATTTCCCTGGATCAGGATAGCCATTTGACAGGGGCGGAGCCCAACTGTTTATTCAATACCCTGCGGGCATGTGTGTTTGGAACACATTTTGTTGCGCAATTCAGATTTCTGTAAACTGCTACATGGTGTCTGATTAAAATGACTCAATCTTTGACACCCCTTCTCTTAATTTCAGGAAAGAAGTAGGTTAGGATTAGTCTGTAGACCCACAATGCCATTAGGAGGGAGTACAGGAACTCAGAGTATTCTGTATTCTTGCCACTTCAATCCCCCCTCTGCCAAGAGGTGCTCGACATGGAGGAGCGTTGATTTGTCAGCTGAGGGAAGACTGCATGTGGTAATCAGCAGGAGGTTTCCTTACCCATGTTTAACCTGAAGCCATGAGACTTCACGGGATCCAAAGTCAATGTTGAGGATCCCCAGGGCAACTCCCTCCCAACTGTATATCACCGTGCTGCCACCTCTGCTGGGTCTGTGCTGCCGGTGGGACAGGACATATCCAGAGAAGGTGATGGTGGTGCCTGGCACATTGTCTGTAAGGGATGATTCTGTGAGTATTATACTGTCAGGCTGTTTATTGACTGGTTTGTAATTCTCACAATTTTGGCACAAGCTCCAGACATCAGAAAGGAGGAAATTGCAGGGTCAACAGGGCTAAGTTTGTCGCTGTCATTTCCAGTGCCTAGGCTGATGCCTGGTCCATCCAGTTTCACTCCTTTTTCTTTCAGACTTGTTAGCAGTTTGATACAACTGAATGGCTTGCTCAGCCACTTTCGGTAAGGAAAGCAAACCGGATAGTGTTTTGAAATGGCTGATGAAATTGCATGATTATCATCAGATTTTTAATTCCGGATTTTGTTTTTCAATTTAAAGTTCATCATCTGCCATGGTGGGATTCGAACCCAGGCAATACCTGCATCTAAAAAAAGCAAGGTTTTAAGTCATATCATGGATCCTCTCGTTGCCAGTAGGCTTTGAGGTTCCAAAGAACACATCTCACATTTACACTGTGTGGGAGGCTGCAGCTCTTATGTGGTAATGATGAGGAGCTTCTTCTCAACTTCTGGTTTCACTTCAATCTCAAACTTCAATATCAATCTTTGCTCATCCCTGGTGTAGAGGGCTGGGGGACGGGGACAAGGGTAATTGTAAGGACTTATTCTTGGATCTGCTGCTGTGTTTGCTGAGATGGCCATCTCTAGATCCTGATTGTGGCCCCTGGTTACAGTTGCTACCCCTGCATCTCTGTTGCCATTTTGTGACAATGTTGCATCTGGCTACCATAGAGAAGTAGCCCAAAATCCACAAGTGTATCTAAAGCACTCTGAGATGGATTGGCATCACAGGGCTGGAGAGTATTGAGGACAGCAGCAACAATATTATTACTTAAAGTATAAATTTCCTGTTTTATGATTTAATTGTACAGGCAACACAGCACCCGGGTTTAATTTTGGAAAAAAGGAATGTGAGACACCAAACTAATTCTAAATGATTTTCATGTTGTTGTAAAATTATAAATAGTAAACTAAGAGGAACTAAACAATTCAATTTAGGGTCGAGTTTTGTGGAAGCAATTCTGTAGTAAAATTTTTGATCATTACTGGATGATCTCAAAAACAAATAATTACTTTTTGTAAAATGTACTATACATCAAAAATAGTTTTCTTTATATTTCTAAATGAAAAGGGAGCAAGAAACATGCCAGTGACTTAAAAGCAATGAAAATACAAAAAAAACCCTATTTCTCACATATGCTAACAATATTAAGTCCTAATATCTGAACTTAAGTTGTCCGTGATAAGATCAAATTAATAATTCCTCAGTCAAAACTTCTGCCAGTTCCAGAAAATAAACTGTCCTAAATAATGTGACAATTTTGGCCAATGAATGAAGACAAATGTGTAACTCTAAAATTTGATGAATTCATCTAATTCAAGCATAATGGCGGCCCTGACCGACACAGCGTTGAGTTAAGGTGCATTCAAGATAAGTGCTTTATAAAGACTTACTTTGCTGTCTCATTTCTCCTTCCTCAGTAACTCACAAGGTTATGATATAGCAATCATTCAGAATTTAAAGCACTTCAGCACCAACAGTTTTTTTTCAAGGCATCACACAAATCAAGAACTTACATTAATGAGTTCGATTTCCCAAAGCTTTTTCACGAGGTCCATTGATGTGTAACCATTTGCCAGAAAGGTCTTGATATAGTCGTTCAGCTCTAAAGAATCTAACCAGTCTGCAACAGATGTTGGACTGTTTGTATCATAACCAATAACTTTAACCTGCAATAAAGAAGAAAAATACATACGTATAAGATGCTTAAAAGTATATAAGGAGATTTTGTTATTTCATGTAACATTTTCATGATGGGATCCTGTCCTGAGTACAAGTTGTCATGTTTGATAGATTCCAAACGATTAGGAATAAAAGCAGCATGTAAAGATTATTATTGCTCGGTGGACCCCTACAAACTCCCTATATCCTAATAATGTGATTTATGAAAACTTATCCAGACATGACATCTAATAATGCGGCCATTATAGCATCACAGAATGTACCATAATTCCCATTAAACACTGGGAAAGAACTAATCACATACAAATATTTTGAAGGGAATGGAGTCAATAGATTTAAAAATTTGCTGGTGCTCGACATGCCTGTAGGAATGGATTTAGAACACTTCCATCTACAACCTGTTGGGCATAATTCAGCCAGTATTTACCTGAGGAAATGAGTAGCATCAGAATTAGAATCTACAGGGTAGTGAGCAAACGCACACAAACCTTAGTAAATCATAATGACAAATCAACAGATCATGCAACCTATTCTTGGGATGAGACAGCCTATATTCTCTAGAGTTTTGAGGAGTTGAAATGTATAAAATTCTTAGACGTCTTAACAGGCACTGAGAGGCCTTTTTACAATAGTTAGAGGAACTAGAATCAGTGTTGGCCATTTAGGACAGGGATGGAGAGACAAACTTGATTCTTCAGAATATATCACACCCAGGCCATTCAGTATTCTCTAAGTTTCAATTAGCTTCTCCCTCATCCTTCTAAACTCCATCGAGCATAGACCCAGAGTCCTCAAATGTTCCTCATATGTTAAGCTTTTCATTCCTGGGACCATTCTCGTGAACCTCCTCTGAACCCGCTCCAGGGCCAGTACATCCTTCCTGAGATATGGGGCCCAAAACTGTGCACAATACTCCAAATGTAGCCTGACCAGAGCCTTATGGAGCCTCAGAAGTACATCCCTGATTTTGTATTCAAGTCCTCTCAAAATAAATGCCAAACTTACATCTGCCTTCCTAACTACTGACTCAACCTGCAAGTTTACCCTGAGAGAATCCTGGACTAGAACTCCCAAGTCTCTTTGCACTTCAGACTTCTGAATTTTCTCCCCATTTAGAAAATAGTCCATGCTTTTATTCTTCTTACCAAAGTGCATGACCTCACACTTTCCCACGTTGTACTCCATCTGCCACTTCTTTGACCACTCTCCTAACCTGTCCAAATCCTTCTGCAGCCTCCCCACCTCCTCAATACTACCTATCTTTGTATCATTTGCAAACTTAGCCAGAATGCCCTCGGTTCCTTCGTTTAGATCATTAATGTATAAAGTGAAAAGTTGTGGTCCCAGCACTGACCCTTGCGGAACACCACTTGTCACCGGCTGCCATCCTGAGAAAGACCCTCTTATCCCCACTCTCTGCTTTCTGCCAGACAGACAATCTACTATCCATGCTAGCACCTTGCCTCTAACACCATGGGCCCTTATCTTACTCAGCAGCCTCCTGTGCGGCACCTTGTCAAAGGCCTTCTTGAGGTCCAGGTAGATAACATCTATTGGCTCTCCTTGGTCTACCCTGTTCATTATTTCCTCAAAGAATTATAACAGATTTGTCAGGTATGACCTCCCCTGGATGAAGCCGTGGTGACTTTGGCCTAGTTTACCATGCACTTCCAAGTAATCAGAAATCTCAACCTTCACAATGGACTCTAAAATCTTATCAACATCCGAGGTTAGGCTAATTGGCCTGTAATTTTCAGTCTTCTGCCTTACTCCCTTTTTAAACAGGGGTGTCAAGTTAGCGATTTTCCAATCCTCTGGACCCTATCTGACTCTAGCGATTCCTGAACAATCACCGCTAACACCTCCAATATCTCTTCAGCTATTTCCTTTAGAGGTCTGGAGTGTAGTCCATCTGGTCCAGGTGATTTATCCACCATCAGGCCATTCAGTTTTTCTCGCACCTTATTCTTGGTGATGGCCACCAACCTCAGCTCTGACCCCTGACTCTCTTGAATTTTTGGGATATTATTTGTGTCTTCCACTGTGAAGACTGATGCAAAGTAATTACTCAGTTCCTCAGCCATTCCTTGTTCCCCACTATCTCTCCACTGTCATTTTCTAGTGGTCCAATGCCCACTTTTGCCTCTCTTTTGCCCTTTATATATCTAAAGAAACTCTTACAGTCTTCATTTATATTACTGGCTAGCTTACCCTCATATTTAATCTTCTCCCTCCTTATTTTGGTCTCTGTTGGTCTTTGTAAACCTCCCAATCCTCTGGTTTCCCACTGCCCTTCGCCACATTACATGCTTTCTTTTTTGCTTTTATGCTATCCCTGACCTCCCTAGTCAGCCATAGTTGCCTCATCATTCCTGTACCATGCTTCTTTTTCGTTTAGTTTTGCTCATACATTGTGAAGCAAAAAGGAACCATCACCAATTTGCTAAACTGTCGACTAAAAGCCAACGCAACTATGTCTTAAAGAAACAATTCAGTGAGTTTCTAAAAAGTAAAAATAGGTGGAAACGATTTTTGAAATTAATTGTTTTCTTCAACTGTAAATCGCACAATATGATAACTAGAAAGAAAAATGTATTGTTGATTTGAATTAGCAAGTTGCTTAAATATGCTTTTGGGTATTTGGCCACAAAGACCTATATGAAAGATATCAGCTGATGATAAGTTCATGTTAAACTCAGAATTAACTGTCAATTCTGTTTTATTAAACAATATATCTAACCTCATTGGAACAGGTAGAGAATCATCTGTTAATTACTGTCCTTTGCACAAATATTATTATAACAAGTAAACTGATTGCCCATTTTGAATTTGTTTTGAGGAACATATTAATCTTTAAATTACCAGAGGAGTATTGAAAATGATGGTTAACATAGGTTAACAAATTTCAAGCTATTTTTAACTTTACAAACATTGTATAATATAAACATTCAACATACAAAATTCTCACAGGACTTAACAGGGCAGATTCATGAAGGAAGTTTTCCCTGGCTGCAGGAGAGCTCTTAGGGGACACCATCACAGAATTAGGGGCAGATCCTAAAGAATTAGAATGAGGAGGAATTTCTTCACTTTGAGATGCCAATCTATCTAAATGCATTTGTCCTCTATAACGAGGGTACACTATCATTTAGTATCATCTGTCAAGATGTATATATTTCTAATTTAATGATAGGAACAAAGCGTGGAAAACTTTGGGTGTTTCTGCCCCCGAAAATGACCATTTCTATCATAGAAACAAGTGCATTTTTAAGCATGGTCAAACCACCATTTATTAAATAAGAGTTGACAGTATAATTGAAACAGACTAAAACTATGGAGAAAGAATACGGAGTGAGATGGCATGAGTCACTCTCTCTTGCTGAGAGCCAGCACAGCCAAGACAGGTTTAATAGTCTCCTTCAGCACAGTAACTATTTTGTAATTCCATGATTGTATAAAAAGGTTAGCACTTAGACTGTAGGAGGTGTGGAAATATCATTCTTTTGAGTCAGAATTGGCATTATTAAATTGGGAGTCAATACTAAATTTCTTTTCGAACCTTCATTTCCTCGTCATAATTTAATACACTTCACCATTAGTCACCAAGTTTAAAACTTATTTCCAGTCAACCTATTTGATCTAACTCATCATAACACAGTTGTAATTAGTTTACCTTCAGTCTATTTAGGTAAACTGATCATGTTATCACTCCTACGTTGCTGAAGATATACAGAACAAATTCTTACCAGTGCCCTATAATCACTGCGGCTAGGAGCCAACTTAGGAATGGTAAAGAAGTTCCTATCATTAAATTAGAAATATATACATCTTGACAGATGATACTAAATGATAGTGTACCCTCGTTATAGAGGACAAATGCATTTAGATAGATTGGCATCTCAAATTGAACTGAATCTTTGTAAATAGCTGACTCAAATCAAACTGATATTTATATAGGTTTATATACTTTATCAACAGCACATTTAGAGTAACAAATTGTCAATTATACTGAGATGAAGCTAAAAAAAGGCATATAATGATTAATGTCTAAATAAGTCACGTCTAATTCAAATTCCCCAAAATGGTCACTGGATAACTTAGCACTACGCTTGATTAATTTCTCCATGTGCTTGTCATGGAGTTGGTACAATGAACACTGTCATTTTTCAGTAAATGAAGGTCAGCGAAATTTCTGTTATTCAAATTTTAATGACAACCTACAAGTTTTACTCATGTGTTTTTTGCCTGGACAAGATCACAGAGATGGAAGGTTCCACACAAGCTGTGTAATAGATATGAGAGCATCAAACTCAACATCATCCAATACAAATTAGTCCTCCACATGATTGCACATAACTACAGGAGGCGTTCTCTTTTTTGGCATCATACTGCAACTCACCCGAGGAAGGCCACGAACAGCTTGTAAAATTCGCTGTCTATGTGAAGAATTAAGGATGCCAATCTCCAACAAATCCTGGTCTTCCACAACATTGCTTCCCTTGAAAGGAAGACAAGTAGAAAGAGAAAAATTATGTCATTCCCACAGTCAAAATGTGATTATAATGATCTGATAAACATCTTCATTGTACGTACAGCAGCAGTAGTTTACAATAAGCAGCGGGTGAACAGTGACTATCAAATGGTTACCCTGTGCCATGAAATTTCTCTGTGCTTGCTGAAGTTTCTTTGAAGTTGACTTGCTTAGACATCAATAGAGTTTGGGATATAAAAAAAGACCTATTGTAAGCAAAATAAAGAGAGCAGAAGTAGCAAGCCAGCTTTCCACAGACCGTATTGATTCCATACCAGGAAAGAAGACACTTTCTTTACTCTGCAAGTCAGCTCTTCCAGGCTTACAACTGTGGTCAATAGTACCCAGCATGGCACAAGCATCTAGTAGTTTAGCTGTTGTGCTATTCTGTTTACACATGTTTCTTTTATTAAGATGCGCTCTCTGCTTTGAAGGGGCCTTGAACCATATTTTGTTTGCAAAAATTAAATGCTAGCATTTGCCTAATTATTGAAAAGAAAGATCATGCTAGAGACACATCATTTAATTCCATGTTGTCATTTCAACAGATAGTCACAGCTTGGATCACAACAATTTCCATTTTTCACCAAGTATTTACAAGACAGTGCTACATAATCCAAGGATGCTGATTTTCTGCACCAATATTGAATTTTAAAATGCTCAGATTATTAAGAGAAGAACATCAGGAAGACAAGTGTGATTGGTATTTTAACGGTCAAATAGTAAAAGACAGACTTGCGTTGAAATATCAACTTTCACAGTTTCAGGATAAAATACTTTTCAAGTGTATTTACTGTTGTAAGAAACTTGGCACTCAAGTTTCACTTATCAAGACTCTCGCTAACAGCAATGGAATAAAGACCAGAGAATCTGTATTTTTTAATGATGTTGGCTGAGGTATAATATGGACCTGGACAGGGGTGATTCCTTGATCTTCCTTGAAATAGAGCCATGGGAAATTTTGCATCCACCTGAGAGAGCAGACAGTCCTTTAATCTAATGTCTCATCTGAACATTGGTATTTCTAACAATGCAGCACTTCCTCAGCAAAGTGCTACAGCATCACATTCTGTCGTTGTACTCAAGTCCAGGAGTTGAAATTGAACTTAGGAGAAAATGTGCTACCAAATTAGACACAGCCAACATAGTCTTTTTATAAAAAGAAACTCTGGATTTTGGCATTTCTGTGAAGACCAGCATTTGTTGCCCATCAACCAATTGGTTTGCTAGGCTACTTCAAAGACAATTTAGGTGGTCAAGCACATTGCTGAGGGTCTGGAGTTACACGTAGGTCAGACCAGGTAAGGGTAACAGATTTCCCTCCCTAACGGAAATTAGTTAATGAAATGGGTTTTTACAACAATTGATGATAGTAATGGTGACCTCGACAACTGAGACTACCTTCATATTTCAGATTTATCTATTGAATTTAAATTCCACCAGTTGCTACAATGGCATTTGAACCCATGTATTTAGAACTTCTGGATTACTAGTCCATTGACATTATCAATACACTACCATCTTCTGTCGCTGTTCACTTACTGTTTAACACTGGACAAAGTGTGGCAATTGAAGCAAAAAACAGATTATTGGTTACAACAATCACATTATGCCATGTATACATATGAGCATGTAGATTAGGAGGAGTAAGCCATTCAGTCCCTTGAGGGCCTGCTCTGCCATTTAATAAGAAGGTAGCTGATCTGATTGTGTCCTCAACTCTACTTTCTTGTCTACACCATATAATCTTCGACTCCCTCATTAATGAAGAATCTGTGTAACTCTGGAGTAAAAATATTCAATGGCCCAACCTCCAGTGCCCTCTGGGGAAAAGAATTCCACAGGCTACCGACTCTCAGAACAAAAGATTCTCATCTCCTTCTTACATGGGAAGCCCCTTTACAGTTTGTCGTCACTCAATGTTGCTCTGCTAAACATCGGTTCACTTTAACTTCATTAATATAACGGCAACATATCATCCGTTTCATGTTGCCAGTTTCAGATGTCCTCTTCTGTGGATTGTATTCTTACATCACCTCTCATGCTCTAGCCCTCAATCCATCTTATACAAACCCTCTTCCCAACCCCGATTACTGCCCTGGATCCCATAGTTACCACTGTCCAACCTTTCCTGTGCCCTAGGCCTCAGCTCTTTTGCTGCCTTGTGTTTCTTCTCTCCAGAGCCTCACTCACCTACTTTGCTCGCCCCCCAACCCCAATACCAGGCCTTTCCTCCCATCCCATGTACTTTGTATCTGAAGGCTTTTCTCCAGGCTGCTGGCTCTTCTCCTGAACTCACATTGATGCCCTGAGCTCCATGCAGTATCAGGCATTGGAAAGGTCACCAGACCCAAAACATTAACTCTGCTTTCTCTTCACAGATGCTGCCAGACTTGCTGAGCTTTTCCAGCAATTTGTGTTTTTGTTTCTGATTTACAGCATCCACAGTTCTTTCTGTTCGAGACTTCTGCTGATACCTGCACTGACCATCATCTGCCACTAGATGGGGCCTGGTTAATCTAAAAATACACTTATGCATGGTACTGTATTTTGCTAGTAATTTCAGTAAAGAATGCACAGTACTGCACATGGATGGTATTGCATTCCAACTTGTACATTGTCTTTTCCGGTTGAGAAATGTCAAAAGGAACCTAACTCTGGCTTTTAACATGGACTTCTATGGGAAACTCCGATTCACTTAAAGTCCTAATTTTCAGAATTAACCATAACTTTTAAGTGATGGTTTATTCTACTTTTAAAATACATCCCCTTGTCCTTCTCAGGTGGTAGAGGTTACAGGTATGGAGATACGCAGAGCAAGTAACATCATTTGGCACTCCAGAATTCACTGAGAAGCATACTGAAACTTTGTTCTAAAGTATCTTGCTGTTTGTCACTGAGATAGTAAATGAGGACTTTGTGTTTTTGTTCAGGTGAGTATACAGGATCCCTGGCACTATTTGGACAATATTAGGGGAGATTTCCTGGTTTGTGGCCAACATTTGTCCCTTAACAAATACTGACTAGCCTTTTAGTCTCAATAACTATTTGTGGGATCTACAGGTGTACAAATTGTATTTCCTTATGAAATACTCATGCGTACCTATCATAATAACTAACTGGTCCTGAAATGTATTGGTGAAAGTCACATTAGAAATTGAATTTCTTTCTTTCTGCTGTTGCCCTATTGGAAGATATACATCGACATAGCACGTGATGCTATTGCCACTTTCTATACTTTTCACTGTTCTATTCCTGTGCTTGATTCCTTTATATTTTCATCTCCTATTGAATGATCAGGTGCAATAAGTTAGATATCATTAGGCACAAATATTATTGAAATCTTTGGAGCAATGCAGCACAGGAATTCAGATTAGTATTTTGTTATGCTTCATGATATTTCAATCTATATAATTTATTTTGCAAAGTGCTTTGTTCTGCCTAACGCCTTTGCTAATTGTTATCTTTTCAAATAGTCAGGCAATAAGTTGTTACTAGCTAGATGTTTCCAAATCTGGACATGATTGAATAAACCTATTATACGAAGGGTTTGAATGAAACAATATTTCCAAAAGAAAATATTTAGGTATAATAGATGAAATTAGAGCCTACATGCTGAAGCTGTGATCGACCAAGCAAAAACAGACAGATGAGAATGACACAAGTTGGACATAATTAAAATAGTTGATGGGCAGCCATTCAATCGATACCACAAATATTGATTTCAGACATCAGTCTTACTTCCAAGAAACCACAATGTGTGATTTGATCTATCCAAACCTATGCTGATATTTACACTTGCTTAATGCTAACACTCCATATAATTGCTCCACCATTGGTGGCCATGCCTTCAGTTGCCTAGAACCCAAGTTCTGGAATTTGCTGCATTTTTACTGTTGTACATCACTTTGCCCCTTTAAGACATTCTTAGCTTCTGGCTATCTGTCCAGGATTTCCTTATGGGCTTCAGTGACATACGTTTGTTGTATAGTGACCTGAGGAAGCACCTTGGGACATTTCATTATGCTAAAGGTGCTATAAAACACATGTTGTTGTTCTTAATAGCACTAATTGGAAGATACCTTGATATTAACCATTTTCATCATTCTTACAATGGTATATGTCCCACCTTCAAATAAAGACGAGTTTATTGGTTACAATTACAGCTGCGATTCACTCTTTAGTTCAAAAGCTCTTCCTGAAAGTGGTTTCTGTCAACTGTCATTACCCCTTTGAAGACAAGCTCATATTGTAAAAGTCTTGTTCATGGAACCTCAATGGGAGAAAAACACACACAAGTGACATCCTCTCTATTCACAGTCAGTCACACTGTATTAAGTTTCTCTGTTACTTAAATGGACTTTACAATTAGTACTTATTAAGTAAGTGAACAATACAGAGCCCATTTTGCAATCTCATCTCAAACTAACATTAATATGTCTGGTTAATGTTATTTTAGATGTTCTAGGAGGATTCTAATGGTGTGGTGGTAGTGTCAAGTCCCACCTGCCCCAGACATGTATCAAAATACATCTGAACAGGTTGATTAAAAATAGTTATTTTAGTTTTCCACCAATCCAGCAGTAACCACCAGATCCCATTAAAAGAAATGAATGTATCCCATCTGCCAAAGATATTTCATGGTATCTCTTTGCCCTCCCAAATTCCTTTGTAAGAAATTCCCTACACTCTAAGGGCTTCCCTGTTTTTAATGCATTGTGCCTGCCATATGCTTCCTTCCTTATCTTTACAAAACTTTTGACAACCCGTGTTATCCAGGGTTTGACAGATATGCTGTCCTTGCCCTGCACTCTTAAAGGAGTACGTTGTCCCTGACTTCTCACTGTACTACTTTTAAAAGACTTTTCGAAATGTAAACTTACCTGTAAGGACCTGAACCTAGTCTACATTCACCAGATACTAATAATATCGAAACTGGTCTTCGCTTAATTTAGACACTAAATTTC